GGGGGCGGCCAGGTGAATGGATGCGGGGTGGGGGGATGGGGAGATGGACAGACGGCTGTGAGGTCGATGATGGGCGGGTGGATGGCCGCAGGACTCCCCAGGAAAGCACTTAGCTCTGTCGCTGAGTGTGTGGAGAAGTGCACTCAGCCCAGCCCCACCATCTCGGTGCCGCACAGTGAAACACGCTCATGGCTCACCTCTGTCGTGGCGGAGAGGACGTTGAGTTTATCAGGGTGGTCACTCCTGATCTGTGTCGTGAGTGGTGACCCTGGCTCGGGCGACAGGAAGACACCCATCCAAGCCCTTGTCCGTTGGCTGCGTCCCCGATGGGAAAAGCCATCACTACTTGCACAGGGAGAAAGGCCTGGAGCTGGGACTAGGGGGCACCCGGCCGTGGTGGCCGCAGGAAGTGCTTTGGGTCTGAGGCCAGGCGAGGGGCCCGGAGCTCGGACAGGGGGCCGAGCGGGCCTGGTCCTCACCTTCTTTCCACGCAGGCTCCCCACCTCTGCGCTACGCCCTGGGGTGCTGTGCTGGGTTTTCCTCTGCTGAGAGAACGGTCCATGCAGCTGGAGTAGGGAAGTGGGCAGGCTTCCAGCAGGAGGAGATGTTGGAGCCAAGCTCCATGTTGTAAAGACGTGTTGCGGTTTGGGTGTGCTTTTTAAAAAAATGTATATATTTTATTTCTTTAAGAGAGAGAGAGAGAGGGAGGGAGGGAGGGAGAGAGGGAGAGGAGACAACTTCTGTCCACTGGTTCATTCCCTAAATGCTGGCAATAGCCGGGGCCGGGCCAGTTGAAGCCAGGATCCTGGCTAAGTCCCGGTCTCCCACGTGGGAAGTGGGCCCGCCCACGTGAGCCGTCTCTGCCGCCCAGGGTTGCACTGGCAGGAAGCCGGAGCTGGAAGCAGAGTCAGGGCTCAAAGCCCGGCATTCAGCGGTGTAAGCACGGCCCAGTCACCTGCCCCCGTACTTGGCTTCACAACGTTCAGTTTAAAATTTTTTTCTGAAGAGTCAAAAGGAGAAAAGAAAGAAAGTTCCCTAAATCTCCACAAAACTCCTCCTTCCTTTCCAGTGTTCTGCCTTGTCCCGCGAAGCTGAAGTCCTGGGTTTGGTAAACGATACTGCTTTTTGTGTAACGTTAGTTAGCGTACTGTCAGTGTAGTAATGTTAGTTAGCATACTGTTAGTGTAGTAACGTTAGTTAGCATACTGTCAGTGTAGTAATGTTAGCATACTGTCAGTGTGTGTAAGGTAGTTAGCGTGCTGTCAGTGTGTGTAAGGTAGTTAGCATACTGTCAGTGTGTGTAAGGTAGTTAGCGTGCTGTCAGTGTGTGTAAGGTAGCATACTGTCAGTGTGTGTAAGGTAGTTAGCGTGCTGTCAGTGTGTGTAAGGTAGTTAGCATACTGTCAGTGTGTGTAAGGTAGTTAGCATACTGTCAGTGTGTGTAAGGTCAGTTAGCATACTGTCAGTGTGTGTAAGGTTAGTTAGCGTACTGTCAGTGTGTGTAAGGTTAGTTAGCATGCTGTCAGTGTGTGTAAGGTCAGTTAGCGTACTGTCAGTGTGTGTAAGGTTAGTTAGCGTACTGTCAGTGTGTGTAAGGTTAGTTAGCGTACTGTCAGTGTGTGTAAGGTAGTTAGCGTACTGTCAGTGTGTGTAAGGTCAGTTAGCGTACTGTCAGTGTGTGTAAGGTTAGTTAGCGTACTGTCAGTGTGTGTAAGGTTAGTTAGCGTGCTGTCAGTGTGTGTAAGATTAGTTAGCGTGCTGTCAGTGTGTGTAAGGTAGTTAGCATACTGTCAGTGTGTGTAAGGTTAGTTAGCATGCTGTCAGTGTGTGTAAGGTTAGTTAGCGTGCTGTCAGTGTGTGTAAGGTAGTTAGCGTACTGTCAGTGTGTGTAAGGTTAGTTAGCATGCTGTCAGTGTGTGTAAGGTTAGTTAGCATACTGTCAGTGTGTGTAAGGTTAGTTAGCGTGCTGTCAGTGTGTGTAAGGTTAGTTAGCGTGCTGTCAGTGTGTGTAACGTTAGCGTGCTGTCAGTGTGTGTAAGGTGTGTCGGTTTCCCCATGTCATCGCCATGTTTCTGAGAGCAAATGAAACTCAAGTGTCAGACAACAGAGGGTGACGCCTTGTCCTGGAGACGCCCTAGCCCCTGTCCCCGGGTGTGGGCCACGGGCCAGCAGCACTCGGGGACGCTTACCTGAACTGTGGGATCTCAGGTAGGAAGGAGACGAGACCCCCAGGGGCCCGCGGGGAGGCAGGCGGTGGTCGGAGCCGAGTTCCAGAAAGACAGCTCGGGCGGCAGGCGGGTGGTGCCGGGGAGCGAGGGCGAGGCCTGAACAGGGCGCTCGCTGGGCTGGCCGTGAACGAATGCAGAGTGCGGGTGTTTAGGGGTGCCAGGGCTCGGGGGGTGCCAGGCTGGGGGGTACCAGGCTGGGGGTGTTGCCAGGGCTGGGGGCGGTGCCAGGGCTGGGGGTGCCAGGCTGGGGGGTGCCAGGCTGGGGATGCCAGGCTGGGGTTGCCAGGGCTCGGGAGGTGCCAGGCTGGGGGGTGCCAGGGCTGGGGGTGCCAAGGCTCAGGGGGTTGCCAGGACTGGGGGCAGTGCCAGGGCTGGGGGTGCCTGGCTCGGTGGGAGCAGCCACAGGACCCATCTGCAGGATGCTTTGCCTCCCCGGGGCCCTGCTGTTCCTTCCTTTGGGTTTTGTTTTGTTTTCCATCTGAGATGTGACTTCTTGGAACCGCAAGCCACTCGGCTCAGCGCCGCGGGCGGCTTTGTTAGAATCAGGACAGGAGAGGAGCGCTGTGGCGGCGCACAGGCGTGCACATCAAGGAGGCGAGCCGACGGCCAGCAGGCTCCGTCCCGGGGTGCGGCGGTGCAGCCTCATCAAAGGTGCCAGACTAAACTGCAGCCCTGACCCCGCCTGTGCATCCGTCAGAGCAGACCCTGGTGCCGCGGCTGGGCGCCAGCCCCTGGCTCAGGACTCTCGCGTCTCCCTCTTCAGACCCTCACCCCGCCAGGGAGGCGTCGGAGCCCAGTGGCCTCGCCGGGACCAGGGGTCAGGCTGGCTCCTGCTTGCGCGTCTTGCTGCCACGTTCCACTGGGCAGGACCCCAGGGTTCTGAGTGTGGGAGGTGACCCTGGTGTGGCTCTGGGTCTAGTGAGGACAGAGCAGGAGGTGCCAGACCAGGCTGGGGGAGTCGGGTCCATGGATGCCCTTGGTGAGGGCTGAGACTGGCAGGGGCGGGGTGGGGGTCACACTGTGTCCTGGCCTGGGCTGCCGGCTGCACGGGTTCACTTAGCATTGAGAGAGTGGGCCTCCAGCAGGCTGCGTGCGTCAGGTGCACACTCCTTTCTCTGTGTGTGCGACACTCTGATAAAGAGCTTCTCAGGGACTCTGCGTCCTTACACCCTGCTGTTCTCTGCAGAGGCACTGGGACGTACCCATTTCACAGATGGGGAAACTGAGGCTTGAAGAGCCGAAGCCCTCGTCCACAGCACAGCCCGTGAGCCTCCACTGCTACTGCAGAAGCACCTGCTTTGTTATAGGCAGCTTTCCCTCTGTCCCCACGAAGCGAGAGGCGGTTTCTGCTCTGTCTGGTTAGCTGTGGATGATGGCCTGGGTCTGGGGTCTCTGAACGGGTCTGTGGTGGGCTGTCTGTCTCAGGGGTGACAGCCACACAGCCTCCCGCCCCAGCTGTGGGAGTGGAGACAGTGAGACAAGGACGCCGCGTTTTCTTTAGACAGCAGCCGACCTTCTGGCCAGCAGGTCATCTTTAATAAAGGCCGCGGTGAGCCAGGCACCTGCGGTGTGGGGCGAGAAACTCGGGGTGGGGAGTCTGGGGCTGCAGAGACCCGAATCCGAACCCCGACTCTGCAGAGAAGCTGTGTGGCCCAGGGCAAGTCGCTTGCTCTCTCTGGGCCTGCGTGTTCCCTTCTGTAAAATGGGTGTCAATGGAGACCTCACAGGTGGTGGCCTGGATTAGACTAGACAGTTCCAGAAGAGCACAGAGCTTGAGAGTGGACGAGAGCGAGCTGGGAGCCAGGGTTAGGGAGGCCCGGAAGCTGTCACCCGGGCTGCACGAGGGCCTCGTCGGCCGGGCTGCCCGGCCCCTGAGCCAGCTTCCCCACCGCGGCTCGGCCCTGCAGGAAGGCGCAGCCTGGACAGAGACCTGTGGCCGGGTCTGGAGCCCAGGGTGCTGGGTGCACGTCTCCCCGAGGAGCGGGCCCGGGACAGTGGCGTCTGAGGGGGGGACTTTGGCGGCAGGGGATACCATGGATGCTTTGAACATTTGCCAGACCTCCCCCCCCCCCGCGAGCAGTGGGCTGTGGTGAGCCGGCGCAGGTCCCACGGGGGTTTCCTGGCCGGCGCAGGCGGGGCTCTGATTCCTGTGCCGGCATCCACCGCGGAAATGCTCCCACGTGGTGGCCCGTTCCGAGCTGCCGTCACGGTGTCACCAGGTGTGGAGTCGGGAAGAGACGCCCACCACTGCGTTCCCGGGGAGCTGGGGGAAGCCCTGTGCGAGCAGGTGGCCAGCCCACAGCCAGCGTCGCGAGTGAGCGCCTCCCCGCCGCGAGACCCAACGCAGACCGTGGTACCCCGCGCGTGGCCCACTGAGCTGAGCACAGAACAGCGCTGTCCTCCATGGAGGCACCTCCGTGCCCTTTGTCTCAACACGAAAGTGGAGGGCGGGACGTGTCTGTCCGGAACCGAGAGCCTGGAGCTTCCTCTGGGTCTCTCCGGGTGGTTTGCTCACTGTGTGATATTTAAAGCCCAGGCGGTACCGCTGCAGCTGTCTGGAGACCTGGGGTCTGGATGGCGTGCCTGTCCAGGTCCTGCTGACCCAGCCGTTGGCCTCAACCAGAGAAGCCCGGAGCAAGGTCCCTCTTTCAGCAGCAGCGTTCTAGACGCTTCCATCTCGAGTTCTCTCTCCAGGCGCCGAGGCCGGGCTGGGCTCCCCGCGCTGCGCTGCGCCTGCCTGGGCGAGGTTGGATCTTTGTGTCTCCCCCGCAGGTGGTCTTCGAGGCCCTGCACCACCTGGAGCCCCGTGGCTACGTCGTCGGCTGGATCATCGCCATCAGCCTGCTGGTGGGGATCCTCATCTTCCTGCTGCTGGCCGTGCTACTCTGGAAGGTGAGTCTGGCCGTGCCAGCGCCACCGGCCGGCGCCAGCCCTCCTGCCTCTGCGGGCGGCAGCCGCCTGCCCGGCACAGGCACGGCTGGGACGGGAATCGTGGCCCTGTAGAGTCCGTCCACAGCTGAGGATCTGGGCCACGCCGGGTGAGAGCAGAAGTCTCAGTGCCTCCCCAAGAGAGTTGACCCCTGGGCTGGCACAGAACGGTGGGCACCTGAGGTCAAAGCCGGAGCTCCCAAGAGGAGCAGCCGGGGTGGTCCAGTGTGCCGTCTGCTTGAAGGAAAGGTGCAGGGACAACCGAGCGACTGTTTGCTCCTTTCCCCTGCGGAAGAGAAACCTGAGAAAGACTTCTGCCCAGGAGCCTGGGGGAACGGGCATGGGTGCAAGGCTAGAGAACTGGCGTGGTCGCTTCCTGGGACCCTCTCCCGACCCCACGGGCGTCTGCGGACGGTGCCTCCGGGACCCTCTCCCAGCCCCACAGTCGTCCGTGGACAGTGCCCCTGGGCCACTCTCCCAGCCCCGCAGGCATCTGTGGACGGTGCCCCTGGGACGCTCTCCCGACCCTGCAGGTGTCCATGGATGGTGCCCCCGGGACGCTCTCCCGACCCCGCGGGTGTCCGTGGACGGTGCCCCTGGGACGCTCTCCCAGCCCCACAGTCGTCCGTGGACAGTGCCCCTGGGACGCTCTCCCAGCCCCACAGTCGTCCGTGGACGGTGCCCCTGGGACCCTCTCCCAGCCCCACAGTCGTCCGTGGACGGTGCCCCCAGGACGCTCTCCCAGCCCCGCGAGTGTCCGTGGACGGTGCCCCTGGGACGCTCTCCCAGCCCCACAGTCGTCCGTGGACAGTGCCCCTGGGACCCTCTCCCAGCCCCACAGTCGTCCGTGGACGGTGCCCCTGGGACCCTCTCCCAGCCCCACAGTCGTCCGTGGATGGTGCCCCTGGGACGCTCTCCCAGCCCCGCAGGCGTCCGTGGACGGTGCCCCTGGGACGCTCTCCCGACCCCACAGGCGTCCGTGGACGGTGCCCCTGGGACCCTCTCCCAGCCCCACAGTCGTCCGTGGATGGTGCCCCTGGGACGCTCTCCCAGCCCCGCAGGCGTCCGTGGATGGTGCCCCTGGGACCCTCTCCCAGCCCCGCAGTCGTCCGTGGATGGTGCCCCTGGGACGCTCTCCCAGCCCCGCAGGCGTCTGTGGACGGTGCCCCTGGGACGCTCTCCCAGCCCCGCAGTCGTCCGTGGACGGTGCCCCTGGGACACTCTCCCGACCCCACAGGCGTCCATGGATGGTGCCCCCGGGTGCAGCAGTGCCCAGGGAACCCTGCTCGGCTCGCGTCTCACCGTGCTCTCTCGCCCTCGGGTCTAGGGTGATGTCTTTGCCTGCAACTTCATCCCCTGCCCATCAGGGGTGGGGTGCAGCTGCTAGCTGACTCCCAAGCTGCTGTGTCCCTCTGGGGAGCGACGCCGCAGGCGGCTGGGCCCACGTGCGTCCGTGTTTCCGTGGCTTCCCCAGCTCCAGACACGGCAGGGCTTCCTGAAACCACAGCCCAGGTCTCTGGAGTGTGCCAGGCCCAGCAGCAGAGGCAGACAGCCTCTTAGATGACTGTGGATGTGCACTCGGCTTCAAGCACTCACGCCTTTGGGATCACAAGATAACACGTGTTTTGATCAAACATGGTAACGTAGCGATAAGGGGAGAAACCCGTAGCCCATCAGAAGCTCACCTCGCAGGAGCGGCCTGCAGAAGTGTCTGGAAGCTTGCAATATGTGTGCGCACACACAAGCTTGACACATAGAAGGTTCTGGAAGAAGTCAGAGGGCTTTTCACAAACAAGGGCGTGTGAGTGTGACCTGGGTCTGGTTGGGTGAGGCTCCATCCAGGGGAAGAGGCGTTGAGAGACGCAGCAGGGTTTGCGGGGAGCAGCTGGTCAGGTGTGTTCCGGAGGGCAGCCAGTGACCTGCTTGAGGCCCTGCTGGCCAGGACGAAGGGGACACACAGGAGGGCTGACCGCAGAACAGAGGCATGGCTGGCTCTGTGGCCACGTGGGTGTGAGGGCCACCATCGGGTGGCGCAGTGAGACACAGTCAGAACAGGCGGGGTTGGGTGACAGGCGGACTGGGCAGGTCCAAGAGCAATCAGAGGCACCCTCCATCCCACTTCCAGCTGAGCCACCAGATTGTCACTGTCACCCAGGATGGCAAAGGCAGGACTGGAAGTTAGTTTGGGAAGAGGAGGATTTGGTGCTGGGATTTGCAATATGCGGTGCCCACAGGAGCCAGGGCTGGGCAGAGGGGAGGGAGCCGAGGTGGCTCCTCCTTCCTCTCATCAGCTCGTCCTGCACAGCACCTACCTCCAGGCTCGGCGTGCCCACAGCACTCCTCCACCTTACACTGTCCTGCCCATGGTGGACAAGGTGGCCAGGGTGGCCGCCAGCCTGTCCAGATGTGCACCTTAGGACTTCCGACTGCAGATGTAGAAGGACCCCCCGCTGCGATTCCCAGGTCCATGTGGCTGGGAGAGAGAATGCTCCTGGCCTGTAGCAACGTCCACTGCTGGAAAGTGTGCAGACAGAGACCCCGCCCGGGTCACCCCGCCGGGGTAGGCAGAAAGGTGCAGGGTAGCAGCCGAGGGGCAGGAAGGAAGGACACTGGGTGGCTGCCCCAGAGGCGTCCACTCTGGCAGGATTTCTGGGCTGTTTGTGACACCGCAGGCTTTGCCCAGCCTTTCTGTCCATCGTGCAAATGTGTGGCTCCCGGACTCAGGAAGGGCTTGGCCGAGCGGTTCTTCTGCTCCTCACTGCGTGGCACTGACCTGACAGCCGAACTGGTCTTCAGAGTCCAAGATGGCTTCACTCCCGTGCCCGGTGCCTTGGCAGGGACGCTGGGCTCTGTCCCTTCTCCCCGTGCACGTCGACCCAGGGCCTCTGTCTGTGATCCTTCCACCAGCGTCACTGGGCTCTGTACACAGCGGCCTGGGCTCCTGGAGGGCACGGGACAGCTGCCAATTCTCCCAGAGGCTAGCACAGAGCTGACATAGCGCTGCTTCGTTGGTGAAAGCAGTCACAGGCTAGCCCAAGCCAGAGGGGGAGAAACAGACCTGGCTTCTCAGCTGGGAGGCGCGGCCAAGACTTTGGGGCCGTTCTGTAGTGGTGGTTGTTCTTGTTTACTTTCGTCTAACTTGAAAGGCCGAGAGACAGAGACAGAGTGAGGGGGAGAGAGAGAGAGAATTTCTGTCTACTGGTTCATTCCCCAAGTGCCCACCTTATCCAGGGATGGGCCCGACCAAAACAGGAGCCAGAAGCCTGGAATTCAGCCTGCGTCTTCCACATGGGTGGCAGGGACCCACACACTTGAGCCGTCACCTGCTGCCTCCTAGGGTGTGCGTAGGCAGGAAGCTGAATTGGAAGCGGAGCTGGGACTGAAGCCCCACATGAGACGCGGGTGCCCGGGACAGCATCTTCACCTCCACACCAGGCACCTCCTCCTGTGGTTGTCCATTTGCACTTATCTATTGGAAACACAGAGAGATGGCAAGAGAGACGGAGACGAAGCAAGCTCCATCCGCTCCCAAATGCCTGCAGCGACGGCCTGGGACTGAGTCCAGGTCTCCGTGCGAGTGGCAGGAACCCCAGTGCCGGCCTCCGCGGGAGGTCTCCAGGACGCTGGCCCACTGCCCTGGTCCACCGGTGGTTCCCTGTGTCCCCTTCAAGGGAAGGCCCCGAGTGGGCCCCAGCTGCCACGTCACTGAGGGCGTGAAGACAGGTGTGGCCGTGTCCAAGTCCTCTCCCCTCTATACAGCCACAACGCACGAATTTCCTCTTAGAAATTGTTACCTAGGGTTGCTTGCCATGCCTTAAACTCTCGAGCCGAAAGGGATTGTTGTCAGAACTGTGTCGCATCATCATGGTCGGCGACATGGTACCCAGAGCCAGAGAGGCAGCAGGCTGAGCTGATGCCACGGCGACCCCAGCCAGGCTGGCCGCTCCGCACGCTTTATGCCTGTGAGGTGGCCGGCGCTTCGTTCAGCAGACAAGGATGGGTTCCCTAGGGAACGGCAGGCCCTGGGCACGGGGACAGAGATGCCCAGAGCCCCCCTGCAGCTCTCTCTCTGCCCGTCGCACAGCCCCTCCGGCGGCCACCAGGGTGATCCCGAGGCCTCCAGACCAAGCCGCAGGAGCCCGCCCTGGCTGCCCCTCCCGTGAGACGGAAGACGCCCCGACAGTCACGCACACCCCTTCCCGCGGGCCCCAGCGAGACCGTGCGCCAGAGACACCAGTGGGGCGCGCTCATGCTGGGAGGTCAACCCTGAGCTGATGCTACACTGGCCACGGCTCCAGACAGCAGTGTGCCGTCTAAACAGTCCAGGAGCCGAAGACAGCGGACACGCGGGTCCCGAGTCAGCCCAGAGGAGCATGTCCAATGTCCCTTTGAACAGCTGCCCAGGACGCAACCCAAAGGCCAGGGGGAGAGAGGGGCCTGGGAGGAAGAGGCCAGTGCCCCAGGCCTCAGCGCGCCCTGTCTCCTCCTGGGCTGCCACCCCCACTCAGCACCCCCCGGCACCCCGCTGCTCCCTAGTTGTCTGGCAGCTCAAGTACACAAGCAGGGTGCACAGGGCAGGGTGCAGAGAGCTGCATCCCCACCAGGGCAGATCCGGAAGGCGAGGGCGGGGTCCCCCGGGCCTCCAGCCGAGCACAGCCTGGCCCGGGCCTCCTCCTGCGACACTGTGCTGCTGCTTCTGCCACAGACAGGCCAGTTATAAACAGAGCTGCTTCCAGGAAGGGCCGAGAACACGTTGGCTCCGTGGGAGTGCAAGTGGGTGTGGGGCTGCCGGGGGCCCCGGGGATGCCTGGTGACTCACTGGCGGGCGCCTTCAGGGTGGGCTCAGCTGGCAACGAAAATGTAGCTTTGGCGCAGGACCTCTGGAAGTTCCCCCAAAGTACCCAAAGGAGATGTATTTGAAGTCCTATTTAAAAAAAAAATGTATTTATCTGAACGTCAGAGTTACAGAGAGAGAGATAGTCCACCCACTGGTTTAATCCCCAGATGGCCACAACAGCAGGAGCCGGGCCACACCAAAGCCACGAGCCTCATCCGGGTCTTTCATGTGGGTGCAGGGGTCCAAGCACTTGGGCCATCTTCTGCTGCTTTTCCCCAGCACATTAACAGGGAGCTGGATCAGAAGTGGAGCAGCCAGGACTCGAACCGGAACCTAAAAGGGATGCTTGGCATTGCAGGCAGTAGCTTTACCCGTTGTGCCACAGTGCCAGCCCCTGAATTAGAAGTCTTGATCTGTCTTGGGCATTCAGGATTTTCTAATTCTCCGTGCTTTGTATACAATGTATCTGTACATTAATGTAAAAATCGGAAGTTCACAGAGAGGTACTTGAAGTGTGCCAAGATATTGGAGTTCTCACACACACTGATGGTGTGAGATGATGGCTGTGTTAATTGGCTGGACTGTAGTAATCATTTCACAGTGCATACGTGAATCAAACATCACGTTGTGCACCTGCAGGGTGGGGACCGTTTTTCTGCCAGGATCACTTGGAGTTTGTAGCATCATTCGTGGGCCGCACAGAATCAGCAGCCTGCAAAGCCTGCCGTGGCTTCCTGAATCTCGTGTCCGTCTGCGCCTGCCTTGGCGGGGCCAGCCCAGGTGCTTTCGCAGGCCTTGTACAGCCTGAGGCCGGACGTGGGACGCTCCCCACTCTGCGCCCAGTGTGTGCAGTTCGTGATTGTCAGTCCTCCCCCAATAAGCGGGGGGCGTGGAAGAAAGCCCGTCGTGTTCCTGGTTGCGCGCCTACTCCTGGTAGGGTTTTCTTCCTGCCGTGACCCGTGTCTCCTTTATGCGCCTCCCCTCAGGACCTGGGCTCTCGGGTTATCAGGGTGCTGTCTCGATGGAGACGCTGGTGAACCACCTGCCCTAGCGTAGGCTGAGTGTCCCAGGCCATCTGCGTGTGCTGTGATCTGAAGACTGGGGGGGGGGGGGCCAGACTCCTGCTCAGACATCACTGATGGGCGCGCCTCGCTCCTGTGTGTAGAGGTGTGCTGGCAGCCCGAGTGTAGGGTAGGCCAGGGCCTGTGTGTAGGGGTGTGCTGGCAGCCCGAGTGTAGGGTAGGCCAGGTCCTGTGTGTAGAGGTGTGCTGGCAGCCCGAGTGTAGGGTAGGCCAGGGCCTGTGTGTAGAGGTGTGCTGGCAGCCCGAGTGTAGGGTAGGCCAGGTCCTGTGTGTAGGGGTGTGCTGGCAGCCCGAGTGTAGGGTAGGCCAGGTCCTGTGTGTAGGGGTGTGCTGGCAGCCCGAGTGTAGGGTAGGCCAGGTCCTGTGTGTAGAGGTGTGCTGGCAGCCCGAGTGTAGGGTAGGCCAGGGCCTGTGTGTAGGGGTGTGCTGGCAGCCCGAGTGTAGGGTAGGCCAGGTCCTGTGTGTAGGGGTGTGCTGGCAGCCCGAGTGTAGGGTAGGCCAGGTCCTGTGTGTAGGGGTGTGCTGGCAGCCCGAGTGTAGGGTAGGCCAGGGCCTGGCACGCATGCAAAAGGTAGGAGTGGGAGTGCGTCAGCCGTGGGAGAAGGGGTGGGGGCAAAGGTCCCAGGGTCTCCTAGGGCCTGTGTATTAAGAGTACTGATGGCGTTGGTGCTGTGGCGTAGTGGGAAAAGCCACGGCCCTGGAGGCTGGCATCCCATAGGGGCACCGGTTCAAGTCCCGGCTGTTCCACTTCCTATCCAGCTCCCTGCTGACGCACCTGGGAAAGCAGTGATGGTTTTCTGCACCCTCATGGGAGGCCCGGAGGACACTCTTGGCTCCCAGCTTTGCCCAGGCCCAGCCCTGGCAGAGTGTGCCAGCAGATGGAAGCTCGCTCTCTCCCTCTCTCCACGTAGCTCTGTCTTTCAAGTAAATACAATAAACCTTAGAATAAAAGAGCACTGACAGCATGTGTCTGCTGCACCCCGGTGGTTATCTTCAGTTTAATGTCGCTCAAGGGGATGACAAGACCTTGCTAAGCTTGGGTTTGCAATGCTCTCTTCTTTTTTTTTTTTTTTTTGACAGGCAGAGTGGACAGCGAGAGAGAGAGACAGAAAGGTCTTCCTTTTGCCGTTGGTTCACCCTCCAATGGCCGCCGTGGCTGGCGCACTGCACTGATCCGAAGCCAGGAGCCAGGTGCTTCTCCTGGTCTCCCATGGGGTGCAGGGCCCAAGGACTTGGGCCATCCTCCACTGCACTCCCGGGCCACAGCAGAGAGCTGGCCTGGAAGAGGGGCAACCGGGACAGAATCCGGCACCCTGACCGGGATTAGAACCTGGTGTGCCGGTGCCGCAAGGCGGAGGATTAGCCTAGTGAGCCGCGGCGCCGACCCCTTTTTTTTTTTTTTTTTTAAAGGATTGTTATTTCTCCACTCTTGGTGCCATTGCTACGTGTACCCTAGGTTACAGGAGACAGGAATTCTAGGCTCATAGTAAATCCCTGATTCTCACCCCCACACCTGATTGACAGCCGTACACAACTCCTTCAAGCCTTGCCTGTTTCCCATGGGTAGGATTGAGATTAATCCTGTAGCTTGAAATATCGTAGATGTTTGAAGATGCACAGAATTGCATGTGTTTTGTGGAATTTGGAGACCTCACAATCACTTAAAAATATTGTTAAACTATATTGGACTTTTTTCTTTCAAATTTAAAACAATTTTGAAAATTTTCCAGAAATTCCGCAAAACAAATCTTTGAAACAGATAACACTGGGCCAGGACCCCGCCTTGTTCTCTGTCAGAGCCCTGGATCCATGGTTTTGGGTCCACAGACAAGGCTGCCATCAGGATTCGGGGCAGAGGCAAAGACCCTGGGGTCAGGAGACAGAAAACGGCCTTCGCTGTGATCCAAGGGCAGCTGGGGGGGGGGGGGGGCAGAAATCCGACCCCAGGCCCCTAGGCCGTGCCTCCTCCGTGAGCAGGCCGGGATGGCGCCAGGAGGACCTGCCGTGGCCGCGGTTGGGGGATCCCTGCTGTCTGTGTGTGGACTCCATCTAACGCCCTAACCACGCTCTCCGCAAAAGCACAAAGGTGACGTTCTCCTTCTCTGAAGTAGCCTTGCTTTGCTGTTTTAAGAACCAGTGTTAGCGTGACAGGGCCACTGCCAGACCACACGGCCCTTCCGTGGCCCTTCCTCAAGACACTGACATCGTCTGTTGGAAAATTCAGAGAAAGCTACGGACTGTGTTAGCGCCAGACTCTCTGCTGCCATCTCCTGGAAAGTTGGATAAGTGCATACGGCTCTGATCGCAGAGGTGGTGGCAGCCCCCACCCCTGCACCTCCAGGGGACCCAGCTCTCTAACCAGGGAGTGCATTATGGTTTTTGTTTTTCTAAGGATTTATTTATTTGAAAGGCAGAGTCACAGAGAGAGAGAGGCAGAAAAAGAGAGACATCTTCCATCCTCTGGTTCACTCTCCAGATGGCTGCAACGGCCAGAGCTGCGCCAGTCCAAAGCCAGGAGCCAGGAGCTTCTGGGTCTCCCAAGTGGGTGCAGGGGCCCAAGGACCTGGGCCATCTTCCACTGCTTTCCTAGGCCACAGCAGAGAGCTGGATAAGAAGTGGAGCAGCCAGGACTCGAACCGGCGCCCATATGGGATGCCAACACCGCAGGCGGTGGCTTCACTCACTATGCCACAGCGCTGGCCTTGCATTATGTTTTAAGAAAGGGTCTTTGGGCTCCAAAGAAGAAAGACATAACTCATGCTGGGGCACGGGGTAAGGAGGCGAGTGCTCTTTAGGCCTGAGGCTAACATCACTCTGAGAAAAAAGCTCGCTTCCGGAAGCCTGCAGGAGACAGCGGTGCCTCTGTGCTGCTGGTGAGGGGTGGCAGCCGTGAAAACCGCAGATGAGCGTGCGTTCAGAGGCTCTGAACCCCTCCCACACACTCGGTGTCAAGTCCTCCACTGGGACAGCCGTGAGAGAGCCAGCCAGCTCTTGTCCATCTGTGGACAAGTGAGATGAGTGACCAGGCCCCTGCATCCCTTTCTGTCCGGAACCCTGCCCACTGCCCCCTGACTCATTCAGTAACCTCGCAAACAGACAAGAAATCAAGGATGTGCCCATGAGCCCGTGCGTGTGACCGGCAGCTCCGGAGCACCAGCCGTCTGTGCAGCTCGCTGTCCGTGGGCTGGCTGAGTTCCGCAGGCTGGTTCTTGCGTCTCAGCTGGGCCTGTGTGTGCACCTGCAGGCGGTCAGGGATTGGCTGGTCTGGCCTGTTTGAAAGCAGGCAGAGAGTGAGGTCCTCTGAAAGTAGCCAGAACCCACGGGGCCTCCGCGTGGGGTGGACACGGCTTCCCCTTCCTCACATCCAATCTTCAGAGGGAGTCTTGGCAGAGCTTCCGGGCGGGGGAAAGAGACTCCGCCCCGTGATGGGGGCAGATGCACAAGTCCCTAGGCAGAGGGCCCAGCCGCAGGGGGTGGCAGGTTTCTCCCTGGTACCAGCCACAGGGGGGAGACACAGGAGTCCCAGGACAAGTGTGGATGACGGGAGGGCAGCAGGACGGAGGCCCCTTCTTGGTGAGTCCACGCGCCTGGCTGTGCTGCACAGACAGCGGGAACTCCGGAGTGGAGAGAGCCGGGCAGCAGTGAGCTCGTCTGCCCGTAGAGGCACATCATGTGAGAACGGATTTATCAGCTGCTCCGCAGGTGGCTGGTGCCTCCCAGGATGTGAAAGCCATTGGGTCAGGACGTAGCAGGCCCTGGGTTTCTTATCCATGGGAGTCTCGGCTGTTCTGTCCGTGACAAAGCTGCGGCCAGGGCTGGGACGGCCGTAGAGGGCCCACGGGAGCGTGTGGTCCGGCCCTGCCAAGGCTACGGCAGGCGGGACTCGCAATCCAGTCATCTGCAGCAGGTGGTGTGTAAGTTGGTCGTTGAGTGACGTTGTCCATGTCCAAACGGCCCCGGGGGAAGAGGCTCCCCAGCCCTGCTCTGGACGCAGGACAGAGGACGATGTTTCCCCAGGTTTGACCGCGAGACTTCCTGCACTCCCAGACACCTTTGCGTGCTGCCCACCCAGCTCGGGAAACGCCTCGCCTGGTGCGTCCTGTAAGGAATTAGCAGCTTACTGAGATAGCCCGCAGGGAGTCCGGGCATTTGAAAAGTGGTCCAGTGCAGCGCTGTTGTGGCTCGTGTGTTTTCTAGACAGTTCTCTGAGGCTGCCCAGCTCACACTGGTCATGCCTTCCCTGCCCAGGCCAGACCACCCTGGACTCCACACGGCCAGTGATTCCACAGCTTTGCTAACCCGGCCTCTCCTCTCTGCCTTCCAGGTGGGCTTCTTCCGCCGAAGATACAAAGAGATCATCGAGGCCGAGAAGAACCGGAAAGAAAACGAAGGCAGCTGGGACTGGGTACAGAAAAACCAGTGACCCGCCGCACCGGTCAAGGGCCCACTCGCCAGCCTGCCGCCCTCGATCTTTGTATCTTCCATATTTGGAAGAAAAAAAAAATGTTCTCCAGATTTTTCGGAGGCCCCACTGATGCTGTCCCGTCCTCATTCTGCGGAGCCCAGGTGCTGGCCTGAGGCGGCCACGGCAGCCAGGCCGCTTGACCGGAGCCACCACCCTGCCTTTGCAAGATGAACTTGAACTGTGGAGAGCGAGTTACGCGCCTGGATGCAGCGTGCGCGGTCAACCCTCAGGGGAGAACTATTGCCTAAAAGTATTTTTATAAATCGAAGCCTTTTATATGGATTATGTCTATATTTGTACCGATGTTTTATTATTTCTATTAAATAGCTATATAATTCACTCAAGCACGGATCTCGGGCCGGAAGTCTTGGCAAACACGGAGGATGATCTGTCTGTGCTATGGGACTTGCTGTTAGAGGACTTGCCGACGGCACAAGCCAAGGAAGCCTGGAGTCCTGGACCCACCGCGCGGTGGTGCTGCGTGCCCGGCGGGGCGGTGCAGAACCCTGGGACTTTGCACGTCCGCAGCCTGCGGTCACGTTCAGAGCCAGGCGCCGCGGAGCCCCAAGTGTCTTCCCCTGTGCACCTCTCCTTGGAAGACTCCCAGCAGGAATTTGGACAGGAAATGTGGCTCCCAGCAGCACGTCTGCTCTGCATCGCATCTCCTCCTCCTCCTCCTCCTCCAACTTGATGGATTTTTGGAACAACCCACAAGGGTCATCTGGTCAACCTCAGAATGGCACCTGACCCAGGACACCTTCCATCAGGACTCCTATGTCACAAGGACTCAGCGTGCTCTGAGCGGACTTGCGTCTGCCTGCAGCAGGACGTGGTCGGCGGTCATTTTCACTCAGAGATCTCTGTCCCCCCCCCCCCCCCCGCCAGGCTTGCTGTCCCGGAGCAGGGTCATTGCAGACCCCTCCCCAGTGACGAATGTTCAACTCGTCTTTTTTTTTTTTTTTTTTTTTTTCGGTCTTGGGTAGGGATCCCAGAAGCAGACCCTGAAACAAGGATTTGTGTGCAAGTAACTTATTCAGGAAGTGTTCTCAGGGGTGCCAGGTCAGGGGTGGGGGGTGGGGGGGCAGGACAGGGAAGGAGAGAGCGCGGGCAGAGGTGCCCTTACAGGGAGGGCCCACAGGGGCGGCTTCTGCTCCATCAGGGCTGCTCTGGGAGTGGGGGTGGGGGTGGGGGGACGTGGGCCCCACGCCTGTCCCAGCCGGAAGCAGGGCCCCCAGGGCTGTGTTCCTGCACCCAAGGGAGGTGTGGGTCTTCTGCTCACAGCCCCTGCTTGGCAAAATGGCTCCAGTGAAGTGGGGGGCAGGGCCCTAAGGGAAAGCCACAGGTGGTGCCTCTACCTGGGGACGCAGAGAGACCCGGCCCAGCACTGACTGCCCCCCCCCACACGTGTGGAGCTGAGCTGCAGCCGCCAGTGCTGTCTGTGCCACACCCGGTTCTGAGTGCAGCGTGGTTGTCTGGCAGGCAGGGAGGCGGTGGGTAGCTGGCGTGCTCAGCCCGACGGAGGCCCCGGGCACACACTCAGGAGCTGTTGGTGGACATGGCCAGCATTCCCGCTGCTAGAACCCTCACTAAGAAAACGCGGGGCTGACAGCGAGTCCCAGTGGCTGATCAAGCCCCGGCCCCGTACTGATGGCCTCGAGTGGGAGCGAAACGGTGTAGCACGCAAGGATCTTAGAGGCCTCGCTTGCTGGGAGCTGACACGTCAGGGGTCTGCGCATCGCTGGGAGGACACACATTCAGCATCGGGCAGACGGGTGCTCTCTGCACCTGCTCGGCTGACTTGCAGACACAGCTGAAGTCTGGGCAAAGATGGCGAGAGTCCTGAGCAGGCGGAGGTGTGGGGCGTGTGTGTGTCCTTGGCTTCTTGCTGCCCTGCCGCCGCCCAGCTGCGGGCAGGCATTGAGTGTGCCCTGCTCCCCGTCCTGGTGAGCTGGGGGAGAGACAGCACAAAGCTGTGGACTCAGCTGACCCTCGCACTCGGGGGCTGCTGCTCACGGCGGGGCTCAGAGGTAGCGCCAGGGCCGTGCTGCGCCACGAACGAGCGCTCATTTGTGGGTTTGGTCAAAGCAAGAAGCAAAGCAGTCGTGGGTGGGTTTTGGTTTAACAGCCGTGCAAGGCCCCCGCTGTGTGCCGGGCATCGCGCCAGGTCAGGAGCTTCCCCGGGAAGACCCCAAGGGCTCTGTGCCCCGAGGTGGCCAGCCCTTCCGCTTTGGCGTGTGGAGTGGGCATTTGGGACCCCACTCACTGCTCCCCCTTGATGGATGGCGTCTGGCAAACTGTTTCCCTTTCGTAAATCACTTGGGATTCTTGGGTGTTGGGCCTGGGGCAGCTGCACCCACAGCTCTGGCCGCGCGCCTGTGGAACCTCTGACCAGCGTCCTCCAGGGTGCGGGCACCTTGCTACAGCGTCGAAGGGTGAGCCCAGGCCCTCGGTGCTGCTGCTGGAGACCAGAGCCCCACTTTAGGACCGGAGGCCTGCCGTGGGCACCTCACAGAGCAAGACCCCACTTGCTACTGCTTGATTCCAAAGGGTGGAACCACACACGTTGTGACCTACCCGGGAGGTCCCTCGGAGTCTTAAGGTAGTGGTCACAGGAATGGCCCTGCGTCACGAGGAGTGGATGCTGGCAGCCAGCCCAGGCGTCTGTGTGGGGAAGGCTGGTGCCGCCTCTCGTCCGATCCTGCTGAGCAGCACGCGGGGTGAGAGCTGACACAGGCCGAGCTGTGGTTAGAGCTCTCGCTGCGGGCAGTTCGCCGGCCCCACCCCCGGCAGGAGGCCCTCGGGGAAGCAGACCGGGTGGGGCCGTGCGTCTGTCCGCCTCTCCAGGATATTCCTGTGAGTCTCACCGCGTGTTCCCGCTCTGCAGGCTCACTGTAGGGTCCTGTCACGTCTCTCTCCGGTCTGCTTCAGCTGTCAGCCGCGTGTTCACTGTGCACCCCGCCGTCGGCAGGTGCAGAGCCTCGGGAGGTGGCCGAGGGTCTTAGCAGCAGCCGAGCCGCACAGTGGCCCCTTTGCAGAAATGGTTCCCTGTGCTCAGCGCCTGTAGGCCGTGAGAGTCTGTGGGGCCTGGGCCTGTCCCAGAGACAGGGCTGTGAAGTTCAGGAGCGCGGGGGTGTCTGCAGGCACCAACGGGCCCACAAGGCTTCCCCGGGCCATCTTCCAGGAGACATCTGTGGGCATCGCCGGGACTCAGAGGTCTGGCAGACGTTGTAAGCCATCCAGCAGTTCACCTGCACCAAACTGGGTAAAGTCAACGGCAAGAAGGTGAGACAGAGGCCATGAGCGGTCCTGGGACACGTGGGCCTCCTGGGAGAGCGGGGACAGATCCCGCACCTGGCCTCCGTGCCGTGCTACTGCGGGCTCCTGCGGGAGACATCCGTGAGAGGCGATTCTTGGCTTATTTGGGGGCGTAAGGCCGATGGCCAGTGAACACAAGTATGCTGGGTCCCCCATGCCACGTACACCTTGGTGCCCCACAGGCCCCGGTCAGACTCCCAGAATGCCGAGGGTGTGTGCCAGGGCTGTGGCTGCTGTGTTGCGCTGTAGGGCAGTGACGTCCACAGTGGAGCGTGCTTTGGAAGCCCAGACTGGCTGGGGGGAGGGTACGGAGCCAGGAGGCCAGCCAGGCACCCAATCAGGCCGGGGGGGCGGGGCGGGGCGCGTTCCCAACGTGTGCAGCGCTGGTCGGCGTGGCGATCGCGGGTTCAGGCTCTGTTCAGGGCCGTCTTGTTTTGCTGTGTTTTGGTTTTCGTGATGTGCGCGGTGTGAGAGCGGAGGGTTGCATGGCAGGTCCCCACTCTGCGTGCGCTTCGGCACCCCGTTTCTGTTGAGGAGTTGGGTGGCACGGGGGGCGCTCCTCATAAGGGCTCGTGTATTAAAGTCTATGCAGTCACTTGTACTTCACCTGCACTGTGTGGGAATGCCAGGTTTACCAAAATACATGTTTGGAATAAAAAAAAATGGCTGCAGATGACTCGGGAGTCTGATTTCTGGGGTCTGTGCCGCAGCTCCTCATTGCTGGGAAATGCCTTCCAGTGTGCCCAGCACGCACTCGACAGGGCTTGGATTCCGAATCTCCGTCCCTCTGTCCCTCCGTCCCTCC